CATCATAAAAGTGTTGTTAATATGTGAAGATCATCTTGATGAACCTGTAAGCAGCATAAACGTCTCTTCATTCTCTGTAATAATTCAGTGTGACGTCCTCCTGTTAACATGTAGATAAATATGTCCTCTCTGCAGCTCTTCATACGTCTTCCTCACATTCACTGCAGGACACAAACAACACAAACAAGCTGTCAACTCACACAAATGTTGCTTTATTCATTTATTGTTCACACATTTCCATTACAATATGAACGTGTCTGTTGAGGACAGTGTGTAGTGTTTAGTGACATCTAGTGGTGAGGTTGCAGACTGCAGCCTCCTCCCTTTAAGTCCTCCAGGTAACGTGGAGATGAAAAAGGCTCTCAGGAGCCCGGTGAAGAGGACCTGCTTTCGGTGAACATATGAAGCGCTCCTTCACACAAGCAGAGGTTTCTTAGTGATGAGCATCACATTTCAGTTAGATCAGCGGTTCCCAAACTCCAGAACGCCGCGGCCCACTTTGAAATCTGAAAATCTTTGGCGGCCCAAACCTTTAATCACAACTCTGATCAAAACATGAACTAGAGATGATTAAATGACCTTAAGAATTTAACCCATTTAACCGTTTTCTCCGGAGCTCACGTGCCGTGTTTTCCGCACAATAAGGCGCATCAGATCCTGCAGTCAGACGGTTGGCGTCGGGGCGGGTGGATGGCGGGTGGATGGCGGGTGGATGGGGGGAGGTGGAGACGGTGCTTTCAGGGTCCGATCGATGCCGCCGCCCCCCTCGCCATCCACGCCTTAAATCTCCGGCTGCTTTTAGAATAACTTATGTTCCCGTTAAGATGGTTCAGCTCCTGCAGAGAAAAGGGCGCCGTCTCTCGCTCTTTAATCTCATGAAGCGCTCGGAGAGAACGACAGCTTCGTTTCTCCGACGCGCCCTGAAAGCAGCTCCGTATCCCGCTCAGCGTCTCGCCGTCGTAGACGAGCTTTGGCGTGTTTGGCAGAGTGAACAACCAGTACGGATCAACCGATCAACCAATTGATCCATGTATAAGAATCCGGATTATAAGGCACTGTCGTTTTGTGAGGAAATTAAAGGATTTTAAGTGCGCCTTGGAGTGCGAACAATGCGGTATATTGACTTTAATACCACAAGAGGGCGCCGCGTTTGTTGAACAACGACAGGCGGACAAGAGCAGCCGTTTGGAGCGAGAGCCTTATTGTTTTATTAATCTGTCCGTTAAAATTGTTTGTGCTTCATCAACTAATGTTTCAAATAACTAATGTGCCGCATCATAGATATTTTTATATTATTCAAACTTTTCAAAATTGAAAATTAAAAACATTTCATTTATTTATTGTAAATGACCTCTCGCGGCCCACCTGCAGCCCCTTCGCGGCCCACCAGGTGCCTCACTGGACCCGTGTTCAGAGGTGTCAAAAGCCCGTCGCGACAGGACAGGCAAACCAAGCAATTGCTTGGGGCCCCGAGCTGGCCAGGGGCCCCGAGACAACGACTGGCTAAGAGTCAAATGCAACGACAAACTGCGTGAGCGCCCCTTTGATCGTCAATGCAGTAAAGTGCAATGACACGTTATCGGGATCCCCCCTCAAGGGGCCCCTCGTGGGGTCACAACAACCGGGAGTTTTTCGCGCGTCATTGACTTAGGAGGCTGTGATTGGACAACGGAACTGGAGCTGTCACGGTCGGGACAAATCAAAAATGCCCATAATTCGGGATGTCCCGCGTAATACGGGACGGTTGGCAACCCGAGCCCGGCATCATGAAGCGGAGTTACGCTTCAGGAAGCAAAAAAAGAAGAAAAAGGAAGTTTTACATGTTTGTGAGAACTGAAAAATGCTTAATGTGAGTGTGAGCGTGTTTTTAAGTATGTTGGATTTAGTTATTGTGCACTTTTTTAATGTATATTTGATTTTATGGTAGTGTGCAAATGTTATATTGTTAAATTTCATGCACATTATGTTTATACACTGTAAACCCTTTTTTATTTTAAACTTTATGGCTGTGCTGTGGTTCCTGTAGGTTTTGCGTGCGTGCAGCGGGGGCTTGGGGGGGCCTCCATGTCCATTTTGCTTGGGGCCCCCAAATTCCTTCAAACGGCCCTGGTCAAAAGTATTCACATACGTTACTCAAGTAGAAGTATAGATACTAGGGTTTAAAAGTATCAACTCAAGCTTTTTATTTAAGTAAAAGTATAAAAGTACCGGTTTCAAAACTACTTAAATTATAAAACTAAAAGTAATTTAAGGGGGAACAAATTCCATTAAACTCCTAATGTGTAACCTGAACACAGAACATGTCAGTCCGGTACAATATATCGGACGGTGCCTTCAGATCACGTCACCTGCCATTCGGATGATGGAACATGGCGATATTCAGAGAGGCTGAAACAACAGAGGGACGAATGTATCGACCCGCGTGCTGCAGAACCTAAACAGATGAAACCAGAACCCGTTTTCCAGTGACGGCTTAATGACACGAGTCGGAGGACGGACACACAGGTTGTTCCCATTGATCAGGTCACGGGTGTCAAACTCATTTCAGGTCCGGGCCAGATACCGCCCACTTCGACCGAACGCGGGCCAGACTATTACAATCATAGGGAGGCACTGAACCGGCAGCGGTCGGCTCTCAAAACATCGGCCAAATGACCCGTTTCAGATTTCATCAGCAAATACAGAATCCCGTTGTGTTCATTTCTAGAGCCGCATCCAGACACACATCACTTCATTTAAGACGCTGCGTTGTGCCACATTCTCAATAAAGTAAGAAAAAAACATTTACATGAAGATTCTCATTTAAGTTACATGGAATTTGCATGAGGAGGAGGAGGCGGGTTGTGGAGAAAACCAATAGAGTGTCTGGATAGTAAATGTTTATACTTCTCATCCAACCACAATCAAATTCACTCCATCCGGATGGCACCATTTATCTGGACAGCTTCTTTTTGTGTGTGTGCGTCGACGACGAGGCTATTTTTAAAATGTAAGGAGTAGAAGTAAAAAGTCGTCTGAAAAATAAATATTCCAGTAAAGTATAGATACCCAAAATGTCTACTTAAGTAAGGTAACAAAGTATTTGTACTTTGTTACTTGACACGTCTGCCTGTGTAGCAGTTCAACAGAGGGGAGCAACAGATGAAGGTTGTCACTGAGTAAGACTCATAAACTGAGCAAAACTAATAAAACCGTAACCCTTTCTGTCTTTTAATGTCCTTTTAACCTCTTTTTAAGCGACTTTTTCGGTTTTCCTACCACAACCGGAAATGCAGACTGCCGTAACGAACAAAATAAAATACATTAAAAAGTAAGTACTATCTAGTACTCCACACTCTCAGAGGTCCTTTACACCGCCGCTGACGCAGGGGGCTGCTGCGGTCGCCGGTTTCACGCTCCATCGAATGACGGCGGGGGACGCCCTTTTCACCGGCCCGGGGGAACCCAGGCACCCTTCCCAACCCACAGAGAGATTCTCAAGCGCCGGGGCAGGAGTGTTGGAGGTGCGGGCGGCTCGGTCACCTCCGGAGAGAGTGCCCGCTGATGGAGGTGGGACAGGTGATCCGAGTTGCCGGCGTTCCGGCACCTTTCCCTGGTCCGGGAGGGACGTACCGCGTTCCGGTAAGAATCCAGGGGGGTACACGCCAGGCGATGGTGGATTCAGGCTGTACGCAGTCTATGATTCACCAGAGCCTGGTTCGGCCGGGGGCATTGGTGGAGGCAGCGCGGGTGAAAATACGGTGTGTGCATGGGGATGTTCACGAGTATCCTGTAGTATCAGCGGAAATTAGATATCTGGGGAAAAAGGATAGAGTGAAGGTCGCGGTCAGCTCCCGCCTGACGCACCCCGTCATTTTGGGTACAGATTGGCCGGGGTTTGATAAGCTAATGGCGGGGGCTCACCGCCAACCCGGGGAACTGTGCAGTTGGACGGGTAGAGGTACGGTATTTGGGGTACCACTTGGGGGACGCGCAGGAGGTGGACAAGACGGCAGCTATCGGTGCCTGCCTGCGGCCCAAGACAAAAAAAGAGGTGAGGCGGTTCTTGGGGCCGGCGGGGTATTACAGGCGGTTCATCCCCGGCTTCGCGGACCTCACCAGCCCCTTGACCGACCTGACCCGGAAAGGTGCGTCAGATCCGGTCCAGTGGTCGGAGCAGTGCCAGCAGGCGTTTGAGAAGGTAAAGCAGGCTCTCTGTGGGGAACCACTCCTTCATACCCTTAACTTCTCTGTCCCCTTTATTCTGCAGACTGACGCATCGAACAGGGGGCCGTTTTGTCCCAGGAGGTGGGGGGGGTGGACCGCCCCGTGGTGTACATCAGCCGGAAGCTGTCCGAGAGGGAGGCCAGGTACAGCACGGTGGAAAAGGAGTGCCTGGCCATCCGGTGGGCGGTGGGCTCCCTGCGCTACTACCTCCTGGGACGCTCTTTCACCCTCTGTTCGGACCACGCCCCGCTCCAATGGCTCCACCGCATAAAGGTGCCAACGCCCGGATCACTCGGTGGTATCTGGCTCTACAGCCTTTTAATTTCAAGGTGGTCCATAGGCCGGGGGCGCAGATGGCAATGGCTGATTTCTTCTCCCGCTCCTGAAAGGGGGGGTGGGGGGCAGTAGGCTAGGCCGGACGGCTCCCCGGCCTAAGTCGGGCGGTGGGGGTATGTGGTGGCGGGCGGGGTTTGGCTCAGCTGCAGAGGGGACGGAGAAGGGAGTGGCTCGGGGAACGGTGCCCGGGGGAGGCATTATTGGCCTCAGGTGGGATTAATCAGTGCGTGTGTTTCGTACTTAAGAAGGAGAGATCCGGCGAGTGTGAGAGCGAGCCAGGCGAGGAAGCCGGAGCCGCACGGCTAAATAAAAGATTGTTTATTGAAAACATCCTGCTGCATCCGCGTCATTCCGGGACCCCCATAGGACCAACACGTCACAGAGACCATTTACTCATAAAATACATGTTATTTCTGCTCTTTGTCCTTTAATCCCATGAACAAAGACTTGATAAGTGATCAGTATTTCTTAAAGCCAATTTATTGGATTTCAATTAAATCACACACACAATGTAGCAGCACAGCTATAATTAAAGCATCATGAATATTCTGCTACAAGCCACTAATTCTGATGGTTTAAGGCAAGTTTAACAGTAAAACACATTTCAGCAACAATGAAAGTCAAAGTTCTCTACCAATGCAATTAAGAATAAAAGAACATTTAAAATAAAAACAGTGATTCAAGAGCAAAGAGAATGAAATAAAAACTACAGTTTTAACTTTGTAAAGACCTCAGATAATAACTTGTGGTACTGAAGGGAAATATGTCCACTGGTTCCTGTCTACGTTCCGGGTGAGTCTCCCTCTGGTTTCACTGCATCTGAAGAAGATCACATGAAGTTATTCCTCAGAAACGGAAGCAGGAAGTTGTTTTGAGTGCAGCAGACTGACACCTGGCTGACCTTCACACCTGGTCCTCCTGCTCCTCTGGGTCTTCTCTCTGTGCTGCCATGTCTGAGAGGTCCTCATACTCAGGATGAAGGTCCATCTGATGGAGAGACGATGAGAGTCAAAGGCCTCAGAGAAGCAGTTCAGATACAACCGACCCTCGGCTAAGCCCCTCCCCCAACGCACACTGTACATTCCTACGTTAGCAACCGTAACTAGGGACCAGAGGCCTTTAGAGGGTTGATGTCACTTATGGATTAAACATGTGGAAGACTGAATCCATCAACGACCAATAAAAACTCCTTTGTTTGCTCCGAGGTAAGATGCTAATGACGTTAGCTAGCTTAGCATGACAGTCGAATATGAATTATTCTCATTAATGTGTAACAAACATAAATCTGTCACCCAAGGAATAAAGCTCATATGAAGCATTCCAACAATGACATTAAGCCTGCAGGAGAACATGCAGTGTGGTTTGTTGCAGCAAGACTCTCTACGATGACCCTTTGGTGAGTTCTGTCTCTGAGGACAAATGTCTCACCTCCACAGCCTCTCTGGACTCATGTGGTTCAGTGGTGGAGCTCACAGCTTTCTTCTTCCTGCATTCAGTCATAAAACAAACAGATACACAAATAGAGTCAACAAATAAACCTTTATCTTCACTATTGAAGGACCTTTTCAAAGTAAAAGCTCAGTGAGGATGAGTTCTAGTTGTTTTACCTCGTCCACAGACAGAAGACAAGCAGAAGAATCAGCATCACAGAGACCAGAGTCCACCTGGTGATGTGAATTATCCTTGTTGTTCCATCAACACCTGGAGACACACAGTTATTAGACAAACAGCACGTTACCTCATCAGAAGGACTTGATTCATGGATAAACGTGCAGGAGATGCTGTTTGTTGATCAGACGATTCCTGTCATGGAGAAACTCACCAGACTCAGTAATCAGAAGTAAGGTGGAGTTACTACGTCCCATCTCGTTCTGGGCTTCACAGTAATAATTCCCACTGTGTTCAGCTGTGAAGTTAGTGATGGTGAAGATCTGTCCTGATGCTCGTGGTGAGTCTTCATGCTCCTTGTACCAGGTGTAGCTAGCTGCTGGGTTAGCATCAGCGCTACAGGTCAGAGTCACTGAATCGCCCTCCAGCATCTCAGCAGAGGGACTCACTGACACAGAGGGACGCTGTGGACCATCTGGAGGAGACGTGTCAACATATTGTTACAAGTTAGAGTTCAATAAATAGAAGTTGATAACAAAACACTACCTCAGTAGTGATTATGTTGCTTTTAAAAAGGTTGTTTCACTCACATTTCACGTCGATAGAGATGAAGTCAGACGTCTTCCTCCCCAGCTGGTTCTCAGCTGTACAGGAATAATTTCCAGAGTCAGAGGACTGGATGGAGCTGAAGACCAGCTGAGGTTCTTCACTGAGAAGACGAGGGTCTGACGTTCCATCCTGCTTGTACCAGGTGTAGTTAGCTGCTGGGTTAGCATCAGCGCTACAGGTCAGAGTCACTGAATCGCCCTCCAGCATCTCAGCAGAGGGACTCACTGACACAGAGGGACGCTGTGGACCATCTGGAGGAGACGTGAATAAACATACTAAGAGGTTAGAAGATGTTAGCGTAGATAGTTGATCATTTGAATGAATACTTGTGTGTCTTTCTCTCAGACTATCTCTAGTATTCATCACAGCAGCTGTCACAGGTGAGACTCCTGCTGGTGTAAAGTGACAATAAGCAGCCTTTAATCCTTTGTAATGTTCATATCTCCACACATTCTTCTCTTTAGATGCTGCTTGTGTCCTTAGCTGAGTCTGTCCTCTCACTTCTAGTTGTTGTAGGAGTTATTGATTGTTTCCTCCACCAGCTGACACGTCACTTCTACTTATGTTCTGGAATAATTCACTTGAGTCTTTATGAAAATCACATTATTCTGTCTGCTGATGGTTTATATTTGTGTTTCTATTAATGAGAGAATGACATAAATAAAGATCTGTGTCTCCTTTAACATTTAGACTCCAGTGTGTTTACAGCTGTGATTAGAATCATATTGTTGTGTCAGTGTGTGAGTGACTCTTCTACACGTAGACTGCAGGGGCCGGGGATTGAACCAGCAACCCTCTGGTCAGTGGACCACGGCTCCACCTCCTGAGGAACGTTGTGCTTCATCTTTTTGATGCCTCTAGTTTACATGCAGCGGTCTGGTGCCTCCATGTGAGATGTTGTTGAAGCTCCACAGGCCGACACAGTGGAGTGAACTTACACACTGCAGGAGAACGTTGATCCCAAGATCCTCTTAAATAACAGGAATATCTGTCTGTAGAACCAGAGGAGACTAGAAGAGAAGATCCTGTCTTGATGATCTCTTCATTCTTGGACCAGACGTATTCAGGACGATCAGACAGAACACAGCTGCTGTGACACGTCAGCTCCAACCAGGTAGAATTTAATCTTCTCACCTGCACCTGGAGACCTGAATCTGTGAATATTATTTATTAAAGTGTCAACATTCACAGAAGACATTTATACTCTAGTTTTCTAGATGTTGAACATTTGTAGATGATTAATATGTGAATTCAAATGTTACCTTTGACGGACAAAGTGACTCCAGGTGAACCAGTATATTCTCTCCTGGTTTGTTTGTCATGAATGTGAATTTGTACTCAGCTGAGTCGCTCTCTCTCACGTCTGTGATGGTCAGATAACATCTCTTCAAAATACTATAACATGTGTGCTTCACACGGTCTGAATACTCAGAGTCTGTTCTCAGATCCACAGGTTCACCATCTTTCTCTTTAGTGAACCAGAATCTGTCCTTTATATCAGAGGGATCTATTCCAGGTGGGTGTGTGTAGTCACAGATTATAAACACTATTGATCCTTTTGCAGCACAGACGTCAGTCTGATCGTAATTCACTCCCCATCCATCCTGACTCTGTATCACTGTAACACAGCACATCAGGAACCACAGTCACACTCAGAACAACATCACAGGACACACTCTCATTGGTAGTTTACTGAAGAGAAAAGATATTATGAGAAATATGAAAATCATTGAGTTGATAGAAAGTAATGAAAGAGTCCACGATGTCCACATGGACTCTGCAGCTGGAAGGAACAGCGACGTATTGAACCTGTGGACCTGAAAAAGCTCAAGTTGAAGTATTAGAAGGGTTTGGTTGATGAGAAGAAGAGTGTCTTTGCTCTGTGCTCTTCTGTCTGTGGTCAGTCTGCTGCAGAGTGGAGATGGAAACTGTAGAGAAATGCAGAACTCTGAGGTCAACGATACTGTGACATATAGATTACATCTCACTGATGACTCGGCGCTCAGCATCCGGCTGTCAATCAATTATCTGTGACACGGATCAAAGTTACGAAATGTCCCAAAAATCCTTCAAGAAGAAGAACAAACGTCCTCAGAGTGAAAAACGGCCTCTTAATGCAAAGAAACGCTGCTGAGCGGTTAGAGGACGTTCAACAGGGACAAATCCTTCAGAGCGTTTCTCCCTTGTTAATGTTTAGTCACTAATTGTGTTTCATGACATCAGACCTGTGTGTTAACTGAAAACATGGGGTCAGATCAGTAAATGCAAATGCGCACAGAGAAATAGTTTTTCACGGAGATTAAATGTTGGTTAAAGAGTTGCCAAAACTACCATCAATGCTGCCAACATAACCGGGACCCCAATTTGAACCTTTCACAATAAGATGTCCCGCTTCAACACCGCCAAATTACGCAATAAAAGAGCTTCCATCGTCGCCCGAGTCTTCTTCTTTCTCTCATCAAATGAACTTTGCTGCAGTAGTTAGACTTGTACATTTCTGAATATATTCATGAGATTTGTCACGTAGATTCGTAGACATGTAGGAATGAACATTATTAACATTTTAGAGGTGATCAACAAAACGTAATAACGGAAACAGCGTGAAGGGCGTGTGTCCAGGCCTCCGCAATTCACATCACGCGTCATTTATCTGACGCTTTTATCCAAAGCGACTTACAATCAGAACATTTCAACCATAAGGACACAAACTCAGAAGAACAAGAAACAAGAAAGTGCAGTTTCATCAAATAAGCCGATGTACAACTCGCTGTAGATAAGAACCGTTATGAGTCCAATGTGCTACAAATACAT